TTGTTATCCTTAACTTGGGATGCCATCCTCAGCTCCACGGTAGCTTTGGCCCGTCTAACTGCCTCCCTACAAGCGCGAGCAGAGGAGGTATACTCCTCTTTGGTAATCTCTCCCTGTTTCCACTTTTTATGTGCCCCCCTTTTGGCCTGTAGGCTGCCCTGGATTTCTCTGGTCAGCCAAGAGCACCTCCTGGCCCCTTTCCCTCTACTACTAGTGAACTGCCCATCAAGAATGATGGGGGATGGGCGGAAGGGGACAGAGTGTCACCACCTACCACCCCGCACCACCACCACCTCCCAGGAGCTGTCGGGTGGGGAGGGGGGAAGCTTGCCCCACTGTCCCCCTCCACTAGTACCCTGTGCCACTGCTGCCTCCAGCACTTCTGGCCTCACCCCGCACTAGCCCTGCTCCTCAGAGGTGTTAGAGCACCATCATAATGGTGGGGACAGAGTGTGCCAGCCTCGCTCCCCCCACCCCCCACTCCATCCCTGCCATCCTGGCAGCACTCTGTACTCTGATTGGTTGTTTCACTAACCAATCAGAGTGCTCCAAGAGCATTACAGACTGACAGACAGATTAAGCCCTTTATTATATAAGAATTTACAAGCTATTTGATCCTCAGCAATCTTCTCCCAGTTACTGGCTCTATGTTCATTGCCTTCATATCTCTCTTGCAAGTATCCTTGAAATGGAGATAAGGATGCCCATGTGATCTTGTTCCTCTAAGGAGTTCTCCACACAAGAGATCCTTGGGTATGCAGTCATCATCTATTATCTGCATATGACCAAGGCATCAAAGTCCACAATGATTAGGAAGAGAATGGGTTCTCAAAATGTTGGCATATTCCAAGCACTTGGCATAGACATCTTTGTCCCACCAGGAAATTCATAGAATATGGCCAACACAATGTCAGTGGAAGCTGTTGAGGCACCTTTCTTGAGTAGAATATGTGGTGCAGGAGTCACTCCCATACAATAGGGTATTGATGACACAAGCATGATGGTGCTTTGCCAATACAGGTATTTGAATATTTGGGGACAGTCCTCGGAAAGGAAAATAAGTAAAGAGCCATTAGGAACAATGGGGTCATAAAAGCTAATCAAGATAAGAGGGTAAAAATTGATTACCCTGTTTCAACCAAGCTTAACACAGTTCAGTCTGTGGACGATTTCTCATTCTGCAATTGCCCATTCAAGTGAATTTTAAGGGTTTGCTGTCTAAGAATAGTTACCCAGAGGTTAGCGATAGAGTGTCCAGGTATGTTAGAGTTTGGCCACAGATCTCCATGCCTTTCTGGAGCTGATGTCAGAACAGTGTTTTTACATTTTTTTTTTTATGTAGGGATTGCACTGTCTATCCAATGTAGACAGCAGAAGGGCACCTTAAGCATCAGATGGTGTATACAATGGTGGTAGAGGTGAGATAAATGAACCTCAGATGTTATAATCCATGTTATTCAGTCCATAAATGGTTTGTATTGATTTGGGCAACATCAAGGATCTGGGTTTGTTGCAAGGTCTGGCACCACACAGAGAATGGGAGTTAGGTAGCTTGCTGCCTGAGAGATGCTGGTTGAGGCTGGGAGGCTGCCTGTAAGAACAAATAGATTTATCATGACCATGGGGTACTTTGAGATGGTTCTCCTTTTCCAGGAGGGGTTAGAC